AGCATTTAACCAATTCGCTAGTGAGTTTGCAAATTGGCTGCCCCAATACTTCCGAGACTTGCTGTAAAATATAACTGCAAACAATGATCTGGGAAGTTCCAAGTAGCTATGGTTTAACAATTATAAATAATTAATGAAATAATGACCATATGTACCAAGTTGAAATGTTATCACTGGAACAGACATGGAACAGCTAAAAATCATGCAAATTAGGTATTTAATAAGAGCGGATTTTAACCAAAACCTAATCAAATTTGCGCATTAGCCCAGAGCATCTATGCATCAAGATTCAGCAAAAACCAACATATGGTTCTTGAGATATCAGTAGAACAGACGGACGGGCGGACACAAACACACATAAATACAGATAGGTTAACTGGAAAGACTCCCATTGTGTGCTTCGCACACCGAAGTAGAAAAAGTGGTCAGTTTCTTCAAATTCATGTGAACTTCTTAAATATTTTCAATTGAAGGGACTACTTTTTCAAAGTGGAACAGAGAATTTTCACTGGATCAGTGACTATACTTACATAAATTAATACTTAATTTTGCAAGCTAAAAACTGCATGGTAATGGTGGTATGTAAACTTGCCAAAGAGGGCCCACTTTAAAACACTGGCTGAACAGAATCTGCCAAGGTATAGTAGTCAAAAAATGGCCGAATAAACAGACTTTGGCGAGTGAAAGATGTTCAAAAAGACTAAGATCACAGTGATACCCAGTGAAATAATCAAGGCTGTGTAGCATTTTTTTCTCAACTTGGGAAATTTAGTAAAAATTATGAAATGAAATATCTGAAAAGAGCGTTTTTTATGCATGTGGCCTTTACGCACTATGCAATTACGTCATCCAAAATTGTTGATAGATTGTAGTAAACTGGACATTTTGACATATATGCACATTATGTATTTACGGTACACATGTAAGTTTTGACAATTTTAACTGCAAAGTACATGAAGCTTGACTTGACAATCCTATCTCCTGTTCACCAAAACTGTCCAAATTATACAGATTCGTGTTGAGGTTACATATAAATCAAATGCAAATGGCCTTGTCTATTATTATGGTACAGTTAAATCTGTGTTAGTGACCACCTACATATAAAATGCACCTACCCACATGACCATCTTCGGTCGATACAATATTACAATATTAAAATTGATAAAACTTAAATGCATTTTCATTATTATTTTATACATAGAATGAGATATCCAGTACTTTAGGGATTTAAAGCAAATGCACTCACAAGATTAAAATGTCAATAGTGAAATAGTGAAATTGCAGTCGAAATCAAAGCAGTTGAGCTGGTAGTTTTCCAGAAGAAAATAGAATTGTTGATGAATGACCATCAGACAGGCAAAGACAGACAATCACATAGCAGAGTAAATAAATTACAAAGGTACAAAGGTAAAATGATTATAATTTTATGTAGGCCACAAGACACATAAAGCAGCCTAAGTCAGCCAAGTTATATGTAGCTATAGTTACATGTACATGTATAACAAGTTATTTCTTGACAGACCTAGATGTTAAGTGAACACTACTGAAATGGGTTAGACATTTTGAATCAGAAAAGTGAAACAAGTGCACATAATGTAAAGTTTGATTGCAATCAGTCAAGGCAAGTCAGTGATATATGGCTCTGAAACAGCATTCATTAAAATAAAATATTCGTCAATCAGACATTTTGAAGCGATCTGGAAAAATGTTTGAAAATGGTCGGTCAAGGTATGTCAGAATTATGGTCTTGGAACCACATTCATTAAAAGTAAATGGCCACTAGTTGGCCATTTTTAATCAGAAATATAAAACAAAATGCTGTGCATCAAGGTACTATTGTGTCCAATGTGTTTGTTTGAATCTACCCATAAACAACTGAGATCTGGATCTGAGCATGGAAGAAATACTGATTTTGATGAATTTTAGCACAAAAGTAGATGTGATTCGGCTATCTTGAATCATAATATGTAATGACTGGACATA